CGGGGCGTCTGCATGCCCTGCGGAAGGTCACGTAGCTAGAAAATAGCAGGGCTGGAATCTGACTGTAATTCTGATCTCAGGCTTGAGGTGGATAGTCTCTGTTTTAACAAGATGCTTTGTTTGCCGGGTGGGAAACAGAGCATGTGAAAGAATATGAGATGTCATGCATAAATTGACCTGTTTAGATTAGATAACTTGGGTAGGGGGTGGAGGTGGGGGGGGTTGGGGGGGAGCGGCTTGCCGGGAGAGGTTCCTAAACTGAAACTTCACAGCACAAAAGCACAAATTAAATGAACAAGTTGGGTATGAAAGGACGTAGATCCAGGAGGCTGTGCCGACCAGAGAACTAAATCTTAAATTTCACTTCTTGGCCTTAATCAAGTCTTTGACATAACAACTTAATTTTTTTTAATAAATAATACATATCCATAATACAAAATTCAAAAGGTGCAAAAGATATGATGTGAAGTCACTTTCCCTCCCTCCGTGACCTCTTCCAACCTGATCACCACAGAGTATCCAGAAACCTTGATTCAGCCTAAATAAAGAGGACCGTAGGTACGATAATAGAAGAGGCAGCTATTTACATGGTGTGATCTGAGAAGTGTAGAAAGATCCAAGGCTTTGTTCAAATCTCTCTCCACTAGCTTGGTCCCACATTCCCTTCCTTTCTGGCAGGAAATTCCCTCCTGTGAGCGGGTAATCCTTACAGAGATGGGGACGTTACTTCCAGAACAACACAGGAGAAGCATAATTGTCAAACTCAGTAATTTTGCCTCAGGGCCTTTCTGTTCATCAACTTAATCATTATTTTCTCTTGTCATTTTTATTCTCTCTACTTTCTTCTGCACTCATCTGAAGGCCCTAAGGGACCCTCACTGAAGCTAATCTGATTTCAGGATTTTAAATGTATATTTTCCCACAAGCCCCACATTTTCCAGAAGAGCCAGCTTGACACAAACTAGATTTTGCTTTGGGTGAAATGTGAAGATTTTATAATCAAGTGGATTCCTCCTCTTCCCAGTGCCCTGTCAATGACCCCTCAAGAACATAATTTATGGGGACCCTTCCCCATACTCCCTTTTTAGAAAGTAAAATACCAGAAAGAAGGCGAAGAGGTTCTCTTAGGATTCTACCAACTCTACTGTTAGGTCTTCTCTAAGTTTACAATCAAAACAGTTAAGGAGGCAGAGCTTATACCTATTTTGTCTGTGTCTTTCCAACCCTGAACGAAACATTTGTTTAACTTTGTTGCTCTCTGAAGATTCTGTCCTGTTTCTACCCTTTTTTGGCAAACTCCTCTAACAAATTATCTGCACAGTTATCTTCACCTCTTAACTTCAGATAATTTGGTTTTAGTCTCTATTGAAAATGTAATTAAGGGCCATTATCTACTCCTGAATAGCCAGATTCAAATGCTTCTTCTTAGTCTTTACTGACTCCCAGAGTTCCCCACTGAGTTTGTTGCTACCAACCGCTCCCTAAGGAATGGTTCCTCTTTTTCTTCTTTTTTTTTTAATTAAAAAAATTACATCAACAGTATAGCAACATTAATAAAGTTCTAGATTAAAGACGGAAAAAGCCACCCACCATGCTGCTACCTCCAGAAGAGGTAAACATTTTTTAAAAGTTATGTTTATAGGGCACTAGCTCAGTACACTTAGTTCATCCTGTGGAATGTTCTGCAACATTTGAAACAATGAGATAACTCTAGAGTCATGAAAAAATATCTTCCATAATAATTACAAAGTAAAAATAGCAAATTTATAACAATAAATAGCAAGATGTATAACAATATGCATAATACAATACCATTTATATAAAATACACAAATTCCGCCGGGCGTGGTGGTTCCCGCCTGTAATCCTAGCACTCTGCGAAGCCGAGGCTGGTGGATCGTTTGAACTCAGGAGTTCCAGACCACACTGAGCAAGAGCGAGATCCCATCTCTACTAAAAATAAAAAAGAAATTAGCTGAACAACTAAAAATATATAGAAAAAATTAGCCAGGCATGGTGGTGCATGCCTGTGGTCCCAGCTACGCGGGAGGCTGAGGCAAGAGGATCGCTTGAGCCCAGGAGATATAGAGTGAGATTGTCTCAAAAAAAATAAAATAAGGCCGGGCGCGGTGGCTCACGCCTGTAATCCTAGCACTCTGGGAGGCCGAGGCGGGTGGATTGCTCGAGGTCAGGAGTTCGAAACCAGCCTGAACAAGAGCGAGACCCCGTCTCTACTATAAATAGAAAGAAAATTAATTGGCCAACTAATACATACAGAAAAAATTAGCCCGGCATGGTGGCGCATGCCTGTAGTCCCAGCTACTTGGGAGGCTGAGGCAGCAGGATTGCCCAGGAGTTTGAGGTTGCTATGAGCTAGGCTGACGCCATGGCACTCACTCTAGCCTGGGCAACAAAGTGAGACTCTGTCTCAAAAAATAAATAAATAAGTAAAATAAAATAAAATACACAAATTCAAAAGGCACAAATGATATGATGTACAAATGGTGTTGTAACATGATGGGATATGTATGCAAATTTTCTGGGAGTATGTACAGACACTGTCAATAGTTGTTGCTTCTAGAGTCTAGAGAATGGAAATGGCCAATAGGAAAAAGGATTTTCCTTTTCTATTTATACTTTCTTGGATTGATTGATTGATTGATTTGTTTACTAGGTGAATGTACTATGTTTAATTTTGTTTTCTTTTTTTTTTTTTTTTGAGACAGAGTCTCACTACTCTGTTGCCCAGGATAGAGTGCCAGGGCGTCAGCCTAGCTCACAGCAACCTCAAACTCCTGGGCTCAAGCAATTCTACTGCCTCAGCCTCCCGAGTGGCTGGGACTACAGGCATGCGCCACCATGCCCAGCTAATTTTTTCTATATATATTAGTTGGCCAATTAATTTTATTTCTATTTATCGCAGAGACGGGGTCTTGCTCTTGCTCAGGCTGGTTTCGAACTCCTGACCTCCAGCAATCCACCAGCCTCAGCCTCCCAAGTGCTAGGATTACAGGTGTGAGCCACCGCGCCCGGCCTCAATATATTTTTAATTGGCCACTTAATTTCTTTCTATTTATAGTAAAGACGGGGTCTTGCTCTTGCGCAGGCTGGTTTTGAACTCCTGACCTTGAGCAATCCTCTCGCCTTAACCTCCCAGAGTGCTAGGATTACAGGCTACAGGCGTGAGCCACCGTGCCGGCTGATATTCTGACACTTTTTAAAAATTAAGATTTCTAGTCCTCAATACTGAAGATACTGAAAGAAATTGCCAATGTGATTGCAAACCACAAATAGAAATATTGTGAAAATTATTAACAGTGAGGAAAGGACCAGAAGGTGAAATATTTTGATTTTCAAATGTGAAAAAGGACCTCTTTTAAAGATAGAGATTGACCAAACCTGCTTAGCTTAAAGTAATTGCATATCTAGAGAGTAAGACTGGGGAATAGAGCAGAGATTTTCTGTTGTTGTTATAAATGTTTGGTACTACTTTAAAATTATGTCAAGGGGGGGAGGGGAGCATGGGCAATATATGTAACCTTAACACTTATACCCCCATAATATGCCAAAATTAAAAAAAAATAAAAAAATAAAATTATTTCAATATAATACAGTAATTAAAATTTACCAAAAAATGTTCTTTATGTGGAAAAAGTGAGATCCTGAAAACTAGTTTGAAAATCTTCAATGATCCCTGGAAGACTTCAGCATGGATTATTAAAAGATGTTTTGTGAGCACTTAAAGAAATTGACCCTAGGCTAGGTGCAGTGGCTCACGCCTGTAGTCCTAGCACTCCGGGAGGCCAAGGCAGGAGGATCACTGGAGGTCAAGGGTTTGAGACCAGCCTGAGCAAGAATGAGATCCCCATCTCTACAAAAAAATAGAAAAATCAGCCAGGTGTGGTGGCATGCTTGTGGTCCCAGCTACTTGGGAGGCTGAGGCAGGAGGATCACTTGAGCCTAGGAGCTTGAGTTTGAAGTGAGCTATGATGACGCCACTGTACTCTAGCCAGACGGATAGAGTGAGAATCTGTATAAATAAATAAATAAAAGGAAATTGACCCTAGGTGCCAACATGGGTCCACTACCAGCAAGTTCATTCATTCAACAAATATTTGTTGTGCAACTTCTGGGTTCCAGTTACTGTGCAAGGTACAAAGGATAAAGCAAAAAACAAAACAAGCACATTCCTGCCTCTTGTGGAACTCTGGTGAGGAAGACAAATAACAAAAATTACAGCATAATTACAACTCATGATAAGTGCTATGAAAAAAACAGGGATTTATGTGAGCACATAATTAAAGGAATTAACCTCATTGGGGGAGGAGATTGCTAGAGAAACCCTCTGTGAGGAAGCAGCATTTAAGCTAATACCTGAAGGATAAATAGAATTTAGGTAGTCAAAGTGTGGGGAGTGCCACAGAGAATACCTGAAAACCCCATGTAAAAAAAGGCATGAGACAGCAACAAACTTGCCATGCTAGAGGAACTGAGCAAAAGCTGAGGTGGCTGGAACAGTAAACAGGAGGGAGAGTGCAAGAATGAAACTATCCAGGTAAACAGAAGCCATATCACACAAGGCAGAAACTCATGCTACTTTCTTTTTAGACGTGATTGATTACTGGACAGGTAGATCAAAGACATAAAAAGTTACTGTAGGGGAGAAAACATGATTTCTTTTTTTCCCTCTTTTTAGGTTTGTGGTTGAGATACAGACAACAAAGCTCATATTTACAAAAGAAAAACAAACAGAAGTTTATTAGCATGTGCTGTACCCATCACGTGGGAGAGGCCTCAGTTCAAAAGCAATTCTTTCTTAAAGGAGAGGCTTAGGGCCTTGTTTCAATAGTTTTTTTTTTTTTTTTTTGTGAAGAAGTTGTATTTCACATAGGTGAGGAGACACTGTCACAAAATGCTAATGGGATGGTTTCTGTCACTCATGCTCTAACTTGAGGGTCTTTGCAACAAAAGGGGGCCTGTGAAGGTGCCTTATTTTTTCTCTCTCTTTCAGGGTTCACAGTTGTTTCTGTGTCAGGCACTAAGCAATCTGATGGCTTTTGGTCCAAACAGGTATTTTAGTTGTCTCTTTGCACCTTTTAATCCCTCTTTGAAGAGCCAAGTTCAAACGCTGGAAACTGTGCTGTCTCTGGTCTCAGGATGTCGGAGAGAAAGTGAATGGTGCCAGCCATGCCTTCAAAGAGGGAGTAGGGTCTGTCAGGAATGCGGCACCCATGTGCTCCATAATCTAGACACCACTCTGCAAACTTGCAAGCTCTGTAGAGGTACTTCTTATCCTGCGTGAGTTGGTAAAGGGACAGGAAGGAGTAGCCGTTACCAGCAGTCCCGTGGCAGATCCCATAGCCCTTCTGCAGCAAACCGCGCTGCCAAATCACGTCACTGCACTCCATGGCCTCTTTCAAGTATTTCTCCTCCCTAAAAACCTTATACGCCTGCATCAGCATGTGGACCACACCTGGGGCACCATGGCACCAGTGGACCAAGCAATCGGTTTCATTGCTTAATGATGACGGATAATTCCCAGATCGGAATTTTTTGTGGCGCACATAATCAATACTGGTTTCACCATTTCTGTCAAGGTTTCATGATCCACTTTTGCTGCTGGCTGCATTAACATATAGTAGATTCCAGCCATGCCATGAGCTGCTCCAACATACTGCTTCCTGTGCCACTGATATAACAGGGGGCAGCGCTCAGTTTTTCTTTCTTCTCTTGATAAAGTCTTACCCGATTCTATAATAGCATTTACTACCTCTTTAATAGCTGACTCACACACGGTGCCTGGCCCGATCTCTATGTTCAGGTACATTAAGGCATATAGATAACCTGCCCGTCCATACAGCAGCTCATCAGGAAGGTCTGACTCTTGGCAGACAATGGCCCTCTGGAGCTGCAAAAGTTTTGTGATGCATTCCTGGGACTCACAGTCACTTTTGAGCTTATGATACATCACCCACAGCAAGGGGCCCAGCATCTCCGCAGAGGAAGGTGACCCTGCGGCCGTTCAGATTCCTAAGTGTTCTCTTTACGTAATCCAGGGACTGGAGCAGGTAGGTCTGGTCACATGTGACCCGGTACAACTGCAGGTACAGAAGGGCTATGCCTGTCCAGCCAGTGTAGGCAGAGCAATCATGTGGATCTGCTGTCTTCAGCCCTTCTTCCATCTGCTGCAGAAGATCTTTGATTTTGGTCTGGATCCGCCTTGTGAAATTATGAATGATCTTTCCGTCACTGTGAAAGGGGAGGCCGAGCTCGTCCGTGGTGGGCGAGTGGCGAGCAGAGCCCATCTCCTCTGTCGCTCCAGCGGCGAGCACCGCGGAGGCTGCGGCCTTGTAGTCCGGGAAGGGGTTGGCGAACGCACGCTCCTCCATCTCTGCCTCCCCTCCCAGGTGCAGCTTCAGTCTCTTCGACATGGTCTCGTTTCAATAGTTTTTAACGAAGAGCCATAACTAAGATGAGAATATCTTTAGGCTTCCAAAAGGCAGGAAAATGTGGAAAGGTAAATTTACAGAAAGGGTATGTCTGCTCCCAGATCCTCCGGCACCACTGTCTCTGAGCTCTGTTTCTGAGCTGATAAAGGCAGAGAGGAGGGGCAGAGTGTGTCCCTGTGTTTTAACCTTAAAATACCCAGAATTAGGCCAGGCGCCATGGCTCATGCCTATAATCCTAGCACTCTGGGAGGCCGAGTTGGGTGGATGGTTTGAGCTCAGGAGTTCAAGACCAGCCTGAGCAAGAGTGAGACCCCATCTCTACTAAAAGTAGAAAAAAATTAGCCAAACAACTAAAAATATATAGAAAAAATTAGCTGTGCATGGTGGCACATGCCTATAGTCTCAGCTACTCAGGAGGCTGAGGCAGAAGGATTGCTTGAGCCCAGGAGTTTGAGGTTGTTGTGAGCTAGGCTGATGCCATGGCATTCTAGCCTGGGCAACAGAGTGAGATTCTGTCTTAAAAAAACCCCCCAAAACCCCAGTATTTTAGAGAGGAATATTTTGGTTTCTTTCAACTCTCAAAATTTGTTTTCAGGCTGGATGCGGTGGTTCACGCCTGTAATTCTAGCACTCTGGGAGGCCGAGGTGGGTGGATCGCTCAAGGTCAGGAGTTCAAAACCAGCCTGAGCAAGAGCAAGACTCTGTCTCTACCAAAAAAAAAAAAAAATTGAAAGAAGTTAATTGGACAGCTAAAAATATATAGAAAAAATTACCCGGGTATGGTGGCACATACCATACCTATAGTCCCAGCTACTTGGGAGGCTGAGACAGAAGGATTGCTTGAGCCCAGGAGTTTAAGGTTGTTGTGAGCTAAGCTGACACCATCCTACTCTAGCCTGGGAAACAGAGTGAGACTCTGTCTCAAAAAAATAAATAAATAAATAAATAAATTTGTTTTCAGCATGATAGTTGATCGAAATGCTTGGGATGTATCAGTTATCAGCTCTACAACTAAATTCTATCCAAAATTTGCCCACTTCCCCCTATCTCCTTCCTAGATCAATGCATCACCATCTCAACCCTGGGCCACTGCTACTGGTCTTCTTGTTCTCACTTTTACCTCTCACAGTCTATTTTCTACACAGCAGCTAGAGTAAAACCTAAATCTAAAACCTAAAAACTAAAACCTAAATCAGACCATATGAATTATTTGCTTGAAATCCTTCAATGGCTTTCTATTTGTCACAGGTTAAGTTTGCACACAGCAGAGATGAAGTTTGGGATTCAAGATGTTTATTGAGGGCCGGGTGTAATCCTAGCACTCTGGAAGGCCGAGGCGGGTGGATTGATCAAGGTCAGGAGTTCGAAATCAGCCTGAGCAAGAGCGAGACCCCGCCTTTACTATAAATAGAAAGAAATTAATTGGCCAACTAATATATATAGGAAAAATTAGCCGGGCATGGTGGCACATGCCTGTAGTCCCAGCTACGTGGGAGGCTGAGGCAGGAGGATCGCTTGAGCCCAGGAAGTTGAGGGTTGGCTTGCGGTGAGCTAGGCTGATGCCATGGCACTCACTCTAGCCTGGGCAACAAAGTGAGACTCTGTCTCAAAAAAAAAACCAAAGATGTTTATTAGGCTTTAACGTCTGTGAAAGGGAAGGAGGAGAAATTAGGATTGGGCAGAGAAAGAAATCAATGATGCATGCACAACAAAACCTTGGCCAATCCATTATGGAGCTCTGATGGACTTTGTCTATCAGAATTGTACCATTAAAATGAGGTGGGCTTTCTACCGCTGCTCATTTAGTCTCTAAATGTAGTCTGCCCCAGGAAGGGTATGCCCTCAAGCGGTTGGGCAATTTTTTCTATATATTTCTATATATTTTTACCTGTCCAATTAACTTCTATTTTTTTTTTTTTTTTTGTAGAGATGGGGTCTCACTCTTGCTCAGGCTGGTCTCGAACTTGAGAGCTCAAACGATCCACCCGCCTCGGCCTCCCAGAGTGCTAGAATTACAGGCGTGAGCCACCAGACCCGGCCTTGTTCACTTGTTTTAACCCTAGTCAGTACCTGAAACATGGTAGGCACTCAAAAAATATTTGTTAAATTTAATTGGATGAGGTGCAGAAATGTGCATTGAATGATACTGCAGATAGCTACAGTTTTAGCTAACAGAGCAACTTTGTCCAGATAATATTTATTAGTGTATTAAGGTTAACCTGAAGGGAGATCCATAGTTGGCTGATAGAAGTCTGTCTGGTCCTGTCAAACAGTTAATAGTCAATGATTTGTATCATAAATGTTGTAATCATCCAAATTTCTGATGACACAAAGCCATGTTGGCGGCTAATATATTGGATGATGGGTTTCAGATTCAGAAGGGCCTGAAAGTCCATCAACAGAAGGGGTAAATACATTGTGGTATGTAATTCATACAATGAACTGAAAGTGAGTCAACTACTGCTATCTGAAACATGGAGAAATTTCACAAAGATAAAGTTGAGGGAAATAAACCAGACATATACAAAAGAATTTAAGTTGCATGGTTCTATTAACATATATTTGAAAACCAAGCAGAACTATTATGTGGTATTAAAACTCAGGACTGTGGTTCTCTTTATTTAGGAAAGAGGAAGCGGTTAATGATTGGGAGGGGCTTTGAGGAAGGCTTCTGAGATGCTACACATCTATTTCTTGACATGGGTGGCAATTATATGGATTTTTTTTTTTTGAGACAGAGTCTCGCTTTGTGAGAGTGAGTGCCATGGCATCAGCCTAGCTCACAGCAACCTCAAACTCCTGGGCTCAAGCAATCCAACTGCCTCAGCCTCCAGAGTAGCTGGAACTACAGGCATGTGCCACCATGCCCGGCTAATTTTTTTTATATATATTAGTTGGCCAATTAATTTCTTTATATTTATAGTAGAGACAGGGTCTCACTCTTGCTCAGGCTGGTTTTGAACTCCTGGGCTTGAGCAATCTGCCTGCCTCGGCCTCCCAGAGTGCTAGGATTACAGGTGTGAGCCACTGTGCCCGGCCAATATGGATGTTTTTATTTTGTAATAATTCATGGATCTGTGTACTCATGATTTGTGTACATTTTATGTGTGTATTATAAATCAATTTTAAAGTTAAGAGGAAAATATAGACTTGGGAGATTTATTTAATTAAAAGGTCATGTGTAATTCCTGACTTTGAAAGAGTTTTAATATTATGTCAGTTAGGATTATATTAATAGTTGCCGTTAATTTGAAGTAAATTATCATATTTATGTAGTTTCCTTTGATCTCTCATTTCACAAGGTTTTTATTAGAATGGCTGCTGAACACAGACTATAATACCTATTGCTATAGGGATGTAAGCTAAAGGATATTTTTATGTGCTGCTATTGAAATATAAAGTGTTACAGCCTTCTTGGAAAGCAATCTGGCAACAGCCATTATTTTGCATATGCAATTTCTGTCCTGGGAGTCTATACTATTGAAATAAAACCACTAGTTTCAATAAAACTATTGGAGTAAAAACACTATACGGCATATATACAAGGATAGCTGTTGCACCAGTGTTTTAAGTGGCAACACACACACACACACACACACACAAATTGTAAATACTATGCATGCCCCTCAAAAGAGTAATGGTGGCAAAAATTATAGTACATTTTGGAACATCAATGAAAAGGAATAAATTTGTACTCTACCAGTTGACTTAGAGGAGTTTTACACACACAAAAAAAATGTTTTGAGTAAAAGAGGCAAAAATGTGGTCACTTTTCAAATGACACAAAACTCTATATTGAGTATGTGTGCATTTGTATTTCTCTATATGTGATTATATGAGCACAGGGAAAAACATGAACAACTAGGTTGATAAATTGGTTAGTTGGGGTTGGGGGAGAGCTCATGGGGTGGCAGAGGAGGGGAAAAGGTGGAGTCAATGGAGGAAGAAAAATAAGAACCAGAGAATTTTTTTTGTAAGTTCTACATGAGCCAATAATCTGATATCACAAGTAAAAAATCAAATGCAATCTTAGGGGCATTGATAGATTGTACTGTGTCCAAATCAAAGGATGTAATAATCCCAGTGTGCTTTATGTTGTTCAGATACAATCTACAATATTGTATTAATTTCTGGATAACACACTAAACACAAAACCAAACAACTCCCTAGCCACTGCTAGGAAGTAAGTTGTTTTTCTTATTGTAAGATGAATGGTTAAGAATCAGGCAGACCTGGGTTCCAATTTCTTTTCAGCCACTTACTAGGCTGTGTGACATTGGGCAAATTACTTAATCCTTCTTTGCCCCAGTTTCCAAATTTATACAATGGGGATAATTACAGTTTCTATCCCTTGGGGTTATTATAGGATACTTACATATACATGCCAGGGATTGGCATCTAGAAGAAACAAAAAAAAGTGTTTTCATTGTTGTTCAAGTAAATATTTATTGTGAAAATTAGAATTTACATGTAAGCAAGAAAATAAAAACATAATCTTACCTTCCAGAGTTAACTAACCATTGTTAACTTTTGGATGTTCATGCATTTGTTCAATGTGATCTGAAAAATTACTGAGACTCGGTGATAGTTTACTTGGGACAAACTAGCAGCTACCAAATGTGTGAAGGGTTGTCATATGGAAGAGAGGTAGACATATTCTGTGAGGCTCCAAAGAACCACACAGCAAGAAGCAAGAGTTATGATGAGAGCTGTCCAGCAATGGAATGGGCTGCCTAACACTACAGGGAGCTCCTTGTTATGATAAAAAAAAAAAAAAAAAACCAAGATTTGGTTGGTACCCATTGTCAGAAAAGTTATGGAAGAAATTCCTGCGTGGAAAAGAAGTCAAGCTGAATGATCTCTAAAACTCTTGCTAACTGTAACACTTTATCATCAAGAAATACTTACTGGTTGTATACATATATTAGATTTTTTTTTTTTTTTTTTGAGACAGAGTCTCACTTTGTTGCCCAGGCTAGAGTGAGTGCCGTGGCGTCAGCCTGGCTCACAGCAACCTCAATCTCCGGAGCTCAGCGATCCTCCTGCCTCAGCCTCCTGAGTAGCTGGGACTACAGGCATGTACCACCATGCCCGGCTAATTTTTTTTTTTTTGTATATATATTTTTAGTTGGTCAATTAATTTATTTCTATTTTTGGTAGAGACGGGGTCTCGCTCAGGCTGGTTTCGAACTCCTGACCTTGAGCAATCCGCC